TTGAGCTGTCATTTTCATTGAATTTTAAGAAGTCCTTAATTTCTTTATTTCTTCCTTGACACAATAGTGATTCAGTTGAGCACTGTTCAATTTCTATAAGTTTATGGCCTTTCTGCAATCAGTGTTGTTGTTGAATTCTAACTTTAAGCCATGGTGATCCAATAAGATACAGGAGGCTATTTAAATTTTTTTTTTGTATCTGTTAAGGTTTGCTTTGTTACTGACTAGTGGTTGATTTTAGAGAAGATTCCATGGGGTGCTAAGAAGAAAGTATATTCTTTTGCATTTGAGTGGAATGTCTTACAGATGTCTGTTAGGCTCATTTGAGTCACAGCATGTTAGCTCTTTTATTTCTCTGTTAAGTTTCTGTCTGGAAGACCTGTCCAGTGGTGAGAGTGGGTGTTGAAATCTCGGTGAGAGTGGGTGTTGAAATCTCCCACTATTAGAGTGTGGTGCTTGATGTGTGATTTAAACTTTAGTAATTTTTTTTTTTTACATATGAGGGTGCCCTTGTATTTAGGGCACAGATGTTCAGAATTGCAACTTGATCTTGATGGATTTTTTTCTGTGATGAATATGAAATGACCTTCTTCATCTCTTTTGATTGATTCTAGTTTGGAGTCTATTTTGTTAGATAGTAGGGTAGCTATAACAGCTTGTTTTTTTGGTCCATTTGACTGAAAAATTTTTTCCCAACCCTTTATTCTGAGGTAATGTCTATCTTTGTAGTTGAGGTGTGTTTCTTGTATACAGCAGAAGGATGGATTTTGTTTTCATATCTAATCTGTTAGCCTATATCTTTTATAGGTGAATTGAGTCCATTCATATTAATGGATAATAATGATCAGTGATTTTTAGTTTGTGTTATTTTTGTTTTTGTTGTTGCTGGTGGTATTGTGTGTGTGTGTGTGTGTGTTTCTCTTTTTAAGTATTTGCTTGTGTGGTATTATTTATTGCTGTGTTTTTGTGAATGTAGCTAAACTAACTTCCTTGGGTTGGAGTTTTCTTTCTAGTACTTTCTGTAGGACTGGATTTGTGGATAGGTATTGCTTAAATCTCATTTTTTCATGGAATATTTTGTTTTCTCTGTCTATGAATTGAAAGCTTTGCTGGTATAGTAGTCTGGGCTGGCATCCATGGTCTCTTAATGTCTGCATAATGCCTGACAAGGACCTTCTAGCTTTCATTGTTTCCATTGAAAAGTCGAATGTAATTCTAATCGGTCTGCCTTTATATGTTACTTGGCTATTTTTCTTTGCAGCTTTTAATAATCTTTCTTTATTTATGTTTAGTGTTTCGATTATTATGAGGCAAGGGGACTTTTTTTTTTTTGGCCAGTCTATTTGGTGTTCTGTAAGCTTCTTGTATTTTTATAGCTAAGAAAGTTTTCTTCTATGATTTTGTTGAATATATTTTTTATGTTTTTGAACTGGGCTTCTTCTCTTTTCACGGTGTCCCAGATTTTCTGGATATATTGTGTTGAAAATTTGTTGGATTTAACATTGTCTTTGACCGATGAATCTATTTCCTCTATCGTATCTTTAACACCTGAGATTCTCTCTTCCATCTCTTATATCCTGTTGTCTATGCTTGCATCTGTAATCTTTTACCCAGATTTTCCATTCCCAGAGTTCCCTTGGTTTGTGTGTTTTTTTAAATTGCCTCTACTTTGGTTTTTAAGTCTTGAACTGTTTCCTTCATCTGTTTGTTTGCTTTTTCTTTTTAAAAAGATTTGTTGATCTCTTCCATTTTTTTGGTCTTTTCTTCCATTTCTTTAAGGGAATTTTTCATTAAATTTTCCTCTTTAATGGCCTTAATCATCTTCATATAGCCATATTTACTGCCACTTTCTCCTGCTTCACCTGCGTTGGTTGTTCAGGTCTTCTTGCCATGGAACCACTGGTTTCTGGGGCTGTGTTGCTCTTTGTGTTGTCTAGTGTGTTCTTACCTTGTTGTCCACCCATCTCTTCCTCCAATCAGTATGGGTGGAGCCTGTGCTTCAATTGGTGTGGCTGGGGGCTGTGACTCCACTGAAAAGTTCTCCAGGTGCAGGCAGGGCTGAGCCTCTGGTGATCGCTTCTCCAGGTCTCGATGGGCCCATGGCTCCAGTGGTCACTCCTCTAGGTGCAAGCAGTGTGGCGTTTTCGGTGATTGCTGCTCTGGGTATAAGTGGGACTGAGGCTAAGGCTTCTGTGCTCGGATAGTTTCTGGAGGCCTCTGCTGTTGCCACGGTCCAAGGTGGGCAGGGATGCTCTCTCCCTGCAGGGCCCTACTGGATTGAGGTCTCAGGGGCACTGATGAGCACAGCTCTATCTGCTCTCTAGAGATTTTTATCTTCAATGACTGCCACAGAATGAACATTCACTGTGTTTCTAGACTTAAACTTGTCTGATCTTAAGAATAACTCTTTTGGGTCCACAGTGCATTTGGTAGGTGCTGAAACACAGGCTAAGAGGTCAAGTGACGTGCCTGTGATCACACAAGTAGCAGGTGGCAGGGTGTGGACTCATCTATGTTGAGTCCAGACTCTCAACTTTCTCCTCCAGAATTGGAGATTGAAGCTAGGGCTTTTGCACCAGGGTGTTACTCATGATTGACAAAGGCATTGGCGAAGATGGGTACTCAAGGGCTCTTTCCAGTCTTCTGTTTTTAGACACAGTTGTGCTAAGCTGCCCAGACAGTCCTTGAACTTGAAATTCTCCTGCCTCAACTGCTCTAATTAGCTGTAGTAATGGGTCTAGGATAGAAGGCCGGACTGATGTCCAAACTCTTGATCCCAGCCACTCAAATCCACCTGGTTTTAGTCTTGGGAAGTTGATGTAATGGCATCAGGGTGAGACCTCAAAGATGCACTAAGTATCCAAGAGAAGACGTTCTGCTTTCTGAATAACTAAAAAGATGTTTTCATGTACTTTCTTAGGGAACTTAACCCCATAATTAACAAAAATGACAACATCTATATTTATGAATCCTATATGGTGGTGTGCTGGGGCCAGTTCATACTGGTTCTCACTGACTATTAATAGCTCATGCACATGGCTTCTGTATTAGACAGAGTTCTCTAGAGTAACAGAATTTATAGAATGAATCCATCTCTCTATATAAAGAAAGGGAATTTATTAGAATGACTTAAGGCTGTGCTCCAGCTAATTCAATTATGGCTTGATATGAACAGGAAAGTCCAAGAATCCAGTAGATGTTCACTCCACAAGGCTGGATATATCAGCGGGTCTTCAGTATATTCTGGAATTCCAAAGAATCAGTGCTGGTGAAGGAATGGACTTGCCAGCAGGAGTGAGGGCAAGGAGGCAAGGAACAAAAGCTCCCTTCTTCCATGTCCTTAGGTAGGCTTCCAGAAGAAGGTATGGCCCAGATTAGAGACTGGTTTTCCCAGCTCAAAAGACCTGGATTAAGGGTGTGTCTTCCTGCCTCATAGATCCAGATTAGAAGTAGTAGATCCCTCACAGGTGTGAACCCCCACTTTGGAGCTTTATTTAATTCCAGATGTAGTCAAATTGACAACTAAGAATAGCCATCACAGCTTCTCAACTCCAAGTTCAACCACACACATCATGTTCATGAGGTTGAGATCAGCCATGGTGAGGTCCTCACGCATTTAAATTACAGAGATTGGCACTGTTATAAATCATGATCTCTGGGCCTTGAGAATAGGTAGCTTAAATCTTTACAAGCATGTCTCCAACAGCAAGCTAAAAAATCCCCACAAGGAGAGCAGGCTCTATCGGAATACACCAACTCCAGCAAATACCCTGACTTCTCGTGGAGATCTTTCTGGGTGGCATTACCTCCTCTGGTGGCCAGGTCTGGTGCTGGTTCTGTCTGTCAGGAGCCAGGCATGCTTAGATCTTCAGGGGATTCTGCCTGACGTGTCCTGGTAAAATATTGGCTTCTAGTGTGATCTTACTTTTTTTTTTTAAATTGAAATTATCAGCTTGTGCCCCCATTCTGAGGCATGGAGACAGATGGATCCCAGGGACTCGGTGCTGGGGAACTGCTCTGTTCAACTCAGCCTGGGTCTTCACAGTACAAATCCAATTCCTCAAGGCAGGATTCTCTACCCTCTTTCGTTGCTGTGGACCTCCCAAAGACGGTGTCTCTACAGGCCAAAAGCTGTCTCTACAGCTCCTGAAACAGTGACCTCAAAGCTCCGGTGTGAGCCATCCCTGTGGATGGCACAGCTCACATTTTCACGGGTTAGTCAGCATTCTCTAGAGTTTCCATCTGGGTTTACCTAGCTGCTCCAGAACCTGGAACAGGTACGTTAGGTCTAAGTGGAGAAATAACCTTCAACATGTATTTAAAAAGACAACAGAACAAAATTCAAACCAGTCAGCCAAACAATGGTCCAACCAATCAACCAACCCACCAAGCAACCAATAACTAACCAATTTACTTATTAACCAGCCAACGAACCAACCCAACCAACCAACTTGCCCACCAATGAACCAAAAAAACAACCAACAACCAACCCAACCAGTCAACTTACTCACTAAAGAGCCAGTGAACCAAGGAACCAACTCAAGCAAGCAAACAAAATTCCCTTGGACTAAAGGAGGAAAAAAAGAACAAAGAACAAAGGTGTATGGGAGCAGTGGTAGCAGAAGTATGGGGACATTCAGAAACAAGGTTGAGGGGACACAGGGAGATCGTGAGGAGCCGGAAATCTGGTTGTCGATCCACAGTATGCTGGTGTATCTTGCCCAGTTCTGTGGTGTAAGTGTTCCCTCTGTATCCCATTTTAAGCTACCGGTGCATTGCCACACAGCATCAGGAAGAGATGCATATAAAGAAGTGTGCACAATGGACTCTGAGAAAGTGAAGGAGCTGTCCCCAACTCACCTGGGTTTGGATTCATAGAGCATGCCAGTCACCCACAAAAAGCACCAAAGTGAGGGAGCGGGTGGGAAGGGTGAGGTCCCCACCCCTTACCATCCAGGCGAATGCTAGTTTACAGTAGGATGTAGGGCCGCTGGCCTTACTTGGTGTTCCAGCAAGAAATCAAGGGCCTCATGGTATGGTGGGTGTGGTCAATAGTCAGCGCCTCGAGGAGCCAGTGGAGCGCACACAGCTGGCGGTAGAGGGGATCCCTGCAGAGACAAGGGAGGAACACAGGAGGTCCTTTTAGGAGGACACACAGAGACTGCGACTGTGCTGGCCTCAGTGAGTGTTTGGCCACACTGCACACGAGGACCCTGGAGTTCAGGGGGGTTAGGGAAGCCACACAGTCATGTCATCGAGCTGGTGGGTGGCAGAGCCATGACAGAAGCGTGAGCATCCTATTCCAGTTCCTCTGAATTTGTGTGTAGTGGGTAGCGTTTCCCCTGGCTGGAGATCATGGCTCAGGCAAATAAAATGAGAACTGAAGGCAATTAATACTCCACTGATGTCCAGTTATTTATCTTATAAAAATGTAATAAATAGCCCGAGGGCATAAGAAAGCCTGGAAATGGGAAACAGTATTAGCTGGGTTGAAACAGAGCTGGCTACTGAAGAAAAGCACACTGAGTGCACTGTTGAGAAATGAAACAAAACCACTGCCTGACAATGTGTCTGACGGACATTTCTCATCGCTTGGCGACCTTACACTCTCCACAGCAAACCAGACATCGACTGCTGTGCTTTTTCCACATTAGTTCACGTTTCCAACAACCTGGTGGGGTATGAATTATCTCCATTTTAGAGAAGGGGAAACGGAGGCCCAGAGAGTACAACCAGTTTTGCTCAAGATCACGTTACGCATTATGTTATGCGGAGATGGTGTTGGGGTGTTTGATTTAATGTTCAGGCAACTATTGTACCTGAGAGAGACCTGAGGCTCAGAGAGGGGCAGTGAGTCACCTGAGGTCACACAGCCAGCATTGGTGAGGATCTGAACTGCAGAGCGATTGCCCTAGAGGCGGTGCCTTAGGGAGCTGAGCTCTGACTCGGAACTGATGAAGCCAGTGTGTGGTGGTCCCCCTGCTGTGAGTGAGGCCAGGAGGGGGTTACCCCGCCGTCTGTGCCTTCCTGGAAGTTGCCTCTCCACCCTGCTTTCTCACCCTGCACTGATGGAAAGGAGGCTTTCCTGAAAGTGTGCTGTGCCCAGACCGCTGCTCCCCAGGGCTCTCCTCAGGGTTCCCAGGCCCCGCTGCTCTCAGGAGCAGGAAGGGATGGTTTCTCAGGGCCCAGGGAGATCTCTCCTCTCTTAGGGTTTCCCCTGAGAGTCATCTGTCCGTTGACCCAGCATGGATTAGAGCAGTACCCTGCTCCAGCCTCTCCTGCTAGGGAGGGTGTCGCTACCATGTCTGAGAACGACTAGCCACCTCACCCCATGTGTGTCTTCCACACACACCCCTCGGGATGAAGAAAAAGATTTCCCTTCTCCTGTTTCCTGGGTAGGACTCTCCCGCCTTTGGCATTATCTTGGGTCCCACTGCAGGTGACAGCATCGGCTGGCAGCTCTGTGTCTGGCAGTTAAACAATGAACCGAATGTGCTGTATGCCGGCTACTGGGCCATACGCCCCTTGATCTCCCTCACTGTAACATCAACAAGCTCTGAAATGCTGAGACAGGGCCCTCGCAGGCCTGGGCTGTGGACTGTGTGGGGTGGGGGTGGGGATGGAGTCTGCTTGGTCACTAGTGGTACTGGAGACACAGGGCCTGTGGGTACCAGACTCACTCCCCCTCCTCCCATCCTCCTATGTTCTTCCCTCCTTTCCTTCTCCCTTCTTCCATCTCTTCACTTCTCAGTTCCTTTGACTTCTTCCTTCTGTCCTCCTCCTTTCCTCCCTCCCTCCCTTCCTCCCTCCCTCCCTCCCTCCCTCTCTCCCTTCCTCCCTCCCTTCCTCCCTCCCTCCCTTCCTTCCTCCTTCTCTCCCTTCCTCCCTCCTTTTCTCCCTCCCTCTCTCCCTCCCTCTGTCAGTCCCCTCTACCTCCCTTCTTTTCTTCCCTTCCCTTTTCCAGTCCCTTCCCTTCTCCTTCCACCTAGGGTCTCTCAGTCCAACCCTCTTTATTTTCTCCACCCCATCCTAGTGATTTCTGAAAGTGCCCCAAACAAGTCAAAGCCGACCATCTCCACCCTCGCTTAAGCTCTCCAAGCTCCCTAACCCGCCTGGCACAGGCTCCACTGTGGGCCTCGGCATTCTTACTTCAAAACTGTAAACCCAGCCTTTCCAGGCATGAGTGTATTTGGAGATGTGACCTTTGTAGAGTCACTTCATTTTAGATGAAGCCATTTTGGAAGACTCTAACCCAGTGCGCCCGATGTTCTTAGTGCAAAGAGGGAATATGGACACCTAAAGATTCTCCACGGCTACCACACAGAGAAAGGCGCTGTAAACACACAGAGAGAGAACTGCTGTGTGGCCACGGGGAGATCAACCTCGTAGACTTCCAGTGCCCAGACCTGGGGGACAGTAAACCCCATTTGTGCAAGGGACCCCTCCAAGTCTAGGTTAGGCTATTCACGGGAGTGCCTACACCATGTCCCCTAGTCTCTATGCCTCAGGTGCCCGGCTTTATCACTGCTACCTGATGGTTTACTGTCCCTGCATGCGCACCAATGGGCTCAGCTGTCCCTGCATGCACACCAACGGGCTCAGCATCTTTCTGGTTACTGGATAGAAGCTGGTGGGGGTCAATCTGAAGTTGCTTCGGATCTGACATTCTCATGTTTGGGACGGCTGAGACAATGTGTAGTGACAGCAGTCCCCCACAGGCACTGTAAACTCCCCGAGGAGCACTGCTCCGAATGCTCACTCTCTGTGGATCACCCTTGTCCTTATGAATCTGGGAGGAGGGCACCATTAGCATCCCTGTTTTGTAGATAAAAGAAACTCATCTACGGTCCGTCAGAACGTCAGCAAACAGCGGGGCTGGAATCCGAGTCCAGCCTCCTGAATCCCTGCTGATGTTTTCTGCTCGAGGGTAGAGCCATTTTTTTGGGGGGGGGAGCGGTCAGGATCTGATAAGTCTAGATAACTTACATAGAGTCAAACTTGACACTCTCTCACCTCACCTTTAATGAACAAACTGGGAAATAAACAAAAACAAAGTCTGGAAGCGTGCTTGATAGAAATCTGCCCTTCCTCTCCACATTACAGAACTATAGCTCAGGTTTAAAGAGAAAACACTTGAACGCAAGGCACAGCAGGTAAAATCTCCATGCGGGCTTGCGCAAAGCTCATGCCTGCGTGCCCAGCAGTCACACACCTGAACAACTCCAGTAGAAATGGGTGCGTGTGTGTGTGTGTGTGTGTGTGTGTGTGTGTGTGTGTATATGTGTGTATATGTGTGTATATATATATATGTTTGTGTATGTGTGTGTATGTATGTCTGTATGTGTATATGTGTGTATACGTGTGTGTATATGTATATATGCGTGTGTATGTGTATATGTATGTATATGTGTGTGTGTATGTGTGTGTATGTGTATATGTGTGTGCATGTGTATATGTGTGTGGTGTGTGTGTGTGTATATATATGTGTGTATGTGTGTGAACATCCCAGGGGTGGTGGACAGGGAGACAATAGTTTCCTCTCACCTGCTGCCAGACTGCATGTACAGTGCTGTCACAGCCATCTATGGCAGATCTGGACACAGGATGTGGGCATGCTTTACTGAACGGGTATTTAGAAAAGGCTGCTAGGGACAGCCTGGTCATTTGATAGAGATGGCAGGAATCTGTGTCTCAGTTCTCTAGACTGCCCCCTCCCATTTGGAAAGGTAAAAGCCAAGTCTCCCCTGAGGTGACGGGATCGATCTCCACACAGTTAATTCAGGAGTACGAGCCAGCTTTGGCATCAGTTGTGCTGGGGTGTGGGGCTAACCAGGCTCTGATCTACACCGGCTGATGCGGCGGCTGACAGCTTAGGAGACCAAGCAGAGTCGCCCTCGTGTTCCCCGCGGACTCAGTGCTTGAGTTGGTCTGGGAAGACTGTGAGACCTCTGGGACATGACTAGATGGCAGACCCAGGGCCCTGCGAGCTGTATCTCGGCTTGGCTCAGCCCGCGCTCTTTGTTTTGTGATCAGCTCAGATGTAAGCAGTCTGCACGACAGGAACACCTACTGCCCTGCCTTCCCCTCTAGGGTGGGCCGAATTTCTTCAGACTCAAGCCAGAATAATTTCTTCTTCCCTTTCATTTATTCTTTTTATATTTTTTACAATGTTTTAATTATTGCAGTAGAGAATAACTAAATAATTAATCACTTAAAAGTAATTAACTTAATAATTACAATTATTTAACGTGTTGGGGAAGAGAACAAGTGTGTTGCACTCGAGGGGGTCAGAAGACAAACTGCAAAATCAATTCTCCCCTTCCACCTTGCAGCTTGTAGGAGTCACACTCAGGCCGTCAGACATGACAGCAAGTGACTTAACTTGTGGAGTGCCTGTGTTACTTTTGGTTAAGTATTCTGTCACAGTGGGAAGAAAAATGAGTAATACAATTGATCACAAAAATACCCCAATTCATCGAGAGAGGGATCAGCAGTTAAGAGCACTGGCTGCTCTTCCAGAGGACCCGGTTCGGTTCCCAGCACCCACAAGGGACTCCTGTCACTGCAGTTCCAGGGGATCTGCTGCCCTCTTCCGAGTCCTGAGGACACTGAAGTCATGCACACACACATACACACGCGCGAGCACGCACACAACCCACAGATACTCTTACGGTCACAGTTCAAGAGCAATAAAAATAAATGTTTAAAACAGCCCAGTTCCTCCCCACTCTTCACTTTGCACATTCTGCACTGTGATTTTGCTGCTTCATTTTATCTTTCCCTCGCGCCTTGGGTTTGCTCTTGCCTTTCACTGGCTTGGTCAACAGAAGGTAGAGGACCACTGTGTCTTTTGTGAGCTTCGGCCTTCGGAAGCCTTGTGTTTAGGCCCTTGTTCTTAGACTTCCTCTCGGATACAGTGAGAACAAGCCTATACCAGCCTGCACTAGAGGTTGGGAGATGCATCTGTCATCCTAGTCACCAAGGCAACCAGTCAAACCAAAGACTGGTCCTGCCAAAGCCAGCCAGCCAGCCTCCAATTTATCCCAAAAATGAATACAAACATGGAAGAAGAACCAGCTGGAAGCAGCCAAGGTGGGTTCACCCGGCAATCTGTAGATGTGGAATCAATGAGAGAGGGGTCCAAGTCACTCCAAGCTGAGAAATACACTTATGCCCTTTCTATTCAATATGGCTAGAACCTTTCACGAGTCAAGGAAAAGAAATGGCCATCTTTAGTTTAGGGCAAGAGTTGAAAAGCTATAGCTCAGGAATGGGTTTATCCCTTGTTTCTATAAAGAAAGCCTTATTAGAAAACAAACTATACAACCCACCCTTTTGTCTTTCATACTACAACTGTAAAGTAGTTCCGAGAGAGACCACGTGATGTGCAAAACCCAAGACCTCATAGAGTAACAATAAATATACTGCTATAGCATCCACTGTGGGTTCACAACCACAATGGTAGTCTGTCTAATATACCTGAGCTTGGAGCTGGGGAATTAGAGTCCTATTGTGAGACCTCTGGCAGGGTTCGCCTACCACGGAAGTTCACTTTCCCCGTTTGGCACTGAAGGAAACTATTTCTGCTCACTATACTGAAGCCTCATTCATTGGTCAGATCAAATGAATGGGGGGGGGTGACCCATTTCTCTAGGCATCTCTTCCCATCTTCAGATGTATGTGAATCTCATGCTTCCAGGGGCTTATCCACGGGAATGGTGGGGAGACGGGGGAGTGCTTCCAACAGACACTGAGCGAGCATCACAAGGCCTATTTTCCTAAGGGGATGCTTTAAGGGCATCCGACTTAGGCTGCCGCTTGGAGTGCTCATCAGAACAGGGCACCAACAAACCAGATAATGTCAATCAAAGGTGGGCAGGGGGCCAGTGGGATGAGGTGGGGTTAACCTGGACTATTAAGAAGAGATGAGGGTGTGTTCAGTGTGTGGTGCTGATGACAGTGGTGATGGGAGATGGTGATGATGATGATGGTGGTGGTGGTGGTGGTGGTAACGGCTGCCTGGATCTACTACCCCTGCAATGAATACTCTTATTAATAATCTTTAATATCTATCCTTGTGACATATTATTGTCACAGATATTGCTCCTGGATTACTCTTTGTGTTCAGGAGCTTTGACTTTCAAAATATGACATGAACTCCCCAAAGGCAAGGCCTTGGGATCTCCTTCCTGCAGTGCACATGAGGGAACTTGGAGTGTGACATCAGACAGACCTGACTTAAAGCCGCAGAGGGTGACATGCTCTGTATGTTCCGGGACCAAAGAGGTGGTCCATCCCCTCGAGCTTCCCTTTCTCTTCTGCAGAGGGGTAAGGAAACACCTACGCAGTAGGGGTCCCAAGGGCTGGGCGCCTGTGGTGTCTACAGAGTGGCAGTTACTGTTGCAAAGGCTGTAGGAGCACAATAAATCAGACTGCTCTGCAGCGCGGCCAGTGCCTCACCCTGGGGCAGGGGCTGCCAACGCCGAGCTTGGAGGGACTGTGCAGATTTGGACCGAGGGGCCATCTGCTCGTGTCTGCAGACATCTGTGGTGGTCACAGCTTGCAGGGTGAGGGGTGCTATTGGCATCTGCCAGGCCGAGGCCCGGGACGCTGCTTTTAAATACCTGGAGAGCCCATTACAGCAAGGAGTTTGCCGTCTCCAGATGCCAACAGTGCTGAGGTAAGAAGATTATGTCTCTACCTGAACCTGTCCAGGTGGGAAGCTGTGGACTTGTAGCTCTCAGAGCAGACAGGAGAAGAACCAGATGACAAGGTTTCAGAAAGCGAGTGTGTGCTTCGGAAGTCTGACTAGTCTCTGTGTGCTCTTAGATGAGGAGGCCAGGCCTTTAGGCCTCAGGCCACAGAGACTTTCCTGGGAAACAGCTCTCTGCGTCTTTGGGGACGAAAATCATGTCCCCTGAGCCTCAGCTGAGATGTGCTTTTGCGCAAGTTCTGCAGCGAGAGCTCAAGACGGGTTTTTATCAAGCTTTGCCGACGATTTGACATTTGAGGGTCTGCCTGGTGAGGGAAGGGATGACTTGGGCCACATCTGATTTGCTGCTGGGGTCCAATCCACCCGAGTTATGGTATCTGTTCTCTGTTATTTTTTTATGAGCCAGGTTTGCTGGCTCCAGGCTCCTGGTCCCTTTCAAGGGGACAGAGGGGCAGCCGGACGACTCCTGACACGTTAACCCGTGGGGCCTGCTTACACGTGTGACTCAGGCAAGGAGGGAGAGATGATGCAGCTGTGGATCGGTGTGAACGGGCGGATAATGATGCCAGCCTCCAACTTCTTCAGCTTCTCGTTCTCGTAGGCCCTGAGGGAGGAGCAGAGGGAGGAGCAAGTCAGAGGGAGCCGTTTTAGACCGCATCTGTGCCAGAGCTTGCCTGGCATGCATTACGGGTCACCTCCAGTGTGTCTGGCAATCACGCCAGCTTTCTGGGTGACAATTCTAGAGGCAGTCCATGAACAGAGCACATTGGAAGAAAACCATGTTTGCCCCACCAGAGGAGCCAAGAAAATAAACAAGGAGGTGAATCCTTTGTTCCAGAGACACCATGCCAGGTGCTGGAAACGCTTCCTCAAGAATAAGACACGAAATACTTTTGTGTTAGTTCCCACGGTTGTGACAAAGCACGCAAGTGAGGTAGATCGCCAGAGAAAGGATTTGCCTTGCTTGCCTCAGAGCTTCAGTCTTTTGTGGCAGGGAGGGATGGTGCATCATCTTCCCCTGCACAGGCCCAGGAAGGAGGAGGGAGAGGGAGAGAAACCTGTGGCGACTTGTTTCTCAGTCTCCCCCTTTTATTCCCCCTGGGCCCCCAGCCTGTGGGATGGTGTGGCCCACAGCCAGGGCAGCTCTCTCGGGAAACCCCCCTCCCAGACACACCCAGAGGTGGGCACTGCAAATCTCCTAGGCGTTTCTCCACGCAGTCATGCTGCTAGCTGCTTACCATGACTGACAGGCATGCTCTTTGGCTGTGTTCTAGGAAGGGCGTTTTGAAACCTCGTTTCAGTGTTTTTTTTTTTCCCCCACTTTGGCCCTCACAGACCTGGTTATCTCAGTTATAGAACATGGTTTTCTTTCAAATATTCCTGAATCACAGACATTTTTTTTTCTTATAACTGAATTCAGCCTGCAGGTGTGTTTTAATCAGACTTACTTGTGTGTGAGTGTGTGTGTGTGTGTGTGTGTGTGTGTGTGTGTACACATGCAACTTAACCATCTACATTTTAAATTTGAGAAACTTCATGTAAAACTTGTAAAGCTTTAGTTCTCGAACCCTTACAAGAAGCCTTCACTCTGGGCCCTGTCACCGCCGAGCGTCAGCAGCAACGGAAGACTGGGGTGGGGGGGGGTCACTGCTTGTTTGTCTAGGGTCATGCGCCCAGGCTTGAGCATCATTGTTTTCTCACGCAGCTCTTCCCTTGAAGGGTTAATTGTTCAGGGTTCTCATCTAAGTGCTTCCTTTGCAGGATGGCTGATGGACTCCGGCTTCACTGGTATTGACTTCTCTATGCAGGGGCAGGCGGCAGATGCAGCATCAATGGAGCCTGACACACCCCACCCTTTGCCTCCTGAGGTTTAGAGTCTTGTGGGGGTGGGGAGAGTGAGAGTAACCCAGCACACAATGGGACTCAGGGTGTGTAGGAAGAGTACAACATTCGCTGTAGTGCCCTGAGGGAGTCATGACAGTTATAAAGAACACCACCCAGGTTCGTTGATAAACCTCCAATTTAGAGGTGGGCCCCCATGCTTTTCCCCTGTCCTTAGATCGTGGCTCTGTGGTGGGTCGACTCAATACAGGTTACCAAGAGTGATGTCATGTCAGATTCAAGGGTGAGAGGCCTCTCCTCCCTACATCCTGTGTTAGTCTGCTCTGGGAGGAGGCCCACAGGGAGAGGCAGCGGTCCAGTGGGAGGGAGTCGTCTCTGTTGATCCTGGCTCACCCGAGCTGGCGCCCAGTGAAGCAGCCACAGCCCTTTGATTGCAGACCTGTGAAAGTAGTATTTGTGGCCCCGAGTTAGTAAGTTCTGGAGTTGGCACTTCGTAGCTACAGCAATGGGAACAGAAACAAATACTGAACTGAGATCTGAATGTTGAGCGGAATTAACTGGGTAAGAGAAGAGAGGATGGACCCGGGCTGGGAGGCAGCAGCCGGGTCACGAGGCCAGAGGGGCAGGAGGAGGCTGTGTGCCGCCAGGCAGAAGCAGCCATTCACGAACAAGATTGCCTGGGTGGGCCTGTAAGCTCCGCCCACACTTTCGCCTTTGTCCGCTGAGGAATGGACACTCTCGGAGGGTGCTGTGGAGTGCAGTTTCTCTTCTGAAAAGATCACCTCAGCTTCGTGTGAGGTCACGCTGGCACACACATGAGAAACAAGCGCCTTCCTCTAGGGAATTTGAGGACAATCTTGGGGTCACAGAGATAATTAAAAGATAGCCCCAGAATCTAGGTGGCCCACTTTCCTTGTCCATTGACTTCTTGTTTGACCCTAGAGCTGGAAAACAAACAAACTAGAAAAAAAATCTCACTGGCAAATGCATTGCTGTGTTCTGTTTTACCGGCCTAACCATGTTTCCCGGAGTAAACAGAAATTAAGCCAGCCCTCGTAGTTCTTAATCTCTGGTTTGATGCCTTCTCTTGGCTCCAATGATAGACCAATTCCACTCCCCCACCACTTTTTCCAACTGAACCTACAGCTGAAGACCCAGGTCACTGAGTGCAGCGGAGCCGAGCTTGCAGGAAGCGCTTCATTCTCCCATCTCCTGGCTTGAAACGTCTGAGGGGAATTGCTTAGATTCCCAAGGTGTGGGGGGGGGGGGGGGGGGGGGGGGTGGGGCAAAAATAATCTCTTTTGCTTTGTAAAAGCAAAAGACCAAACACTTGGTTAGAAAATATTGAAGAAGGAACACTTGCATTCTTGAGACCTCTGTATTGTAACCATATTTGTAGAAGGAGGTCTTAGATGTAGGCTGCCTTCATGGAAAATAAGATTTTTTATGCAAAAATATAAGGTTAACCGAAGCCCAGAGAGATCAAAATCACTTTGTTGTGTTACAGTCACTGACAGGCGCTGAGCGTGCTTCACATGCTGTGATCTGGGTTGAGCTGCGCATCATTTCATGTAATCCTCATACTAAGCACGGGGGCTGGAACCGTCCACATGGGTAAATTAAATGGAGGCCTTGAGAGGCCCGGCGGATTGCTCCAGATCCTCACCATGCTCTTGACTGTGACCTGCGGTGCTCCAGGTCACTCTTGACTGTGACCTGCTGTGCTCCAGGTCCTCACTGTGCTCTTGACTGTGATCTTCTGTGCTCCAGGTCCTCACCGTGCTGTTGACTGTGACCTGCGGTGCTCCAGGTCACTCTTGACTGTGACCTGCGGTGCTCCAGGTCCTCGCTGTGCTCTTGACTGTGACCTGCCATGCTCCAGGTCACTCGACTGTAACCCTGCTGTGCTCCAGGTCCTCACTGCACTCTTGACTGTGACTCTGCTGTGCTCCAGGTGCTCACTGTGCTCTTGACGGTGACGCTGCCATGCTGTGGACTGGCTCTGCTCACTTATAAAGTAGGCCCACCCACTCTTGCATTTGATGCTGCACTCATGAAGTGGGCGCCGTTTATTTTAACAACTGGTCTTGGACAGCTCAGAGACTCTACCAGATAAACAACACATGCATATTTAAACTTATTAAAGTTTAAACAGAGTATTAATCCCCAAACACAGACCAGAGGACAGAGAAAGGGTCTTCTTGACTCTGCATTAAAGCCACGTCCACCTAAGTGGAATGTTCTCTACAGCACCTTCACATTTTCCTCTCCTTATGTGGTGCAGACTGGACAGCTTGTTCATTAGACTACGGTTTCTGCAAAAGGAGCCATGACTTTATTCCTCTCTGTCCTAGGGAAGGCTGCCAGCTGCCAGCAACACTAGGAGCCCTGGGCTTGGGGAGAGTGATGGGTTCTGGGTGGAAGGTATAGAGTCCTCACCGAGGTCTTGGGACTGTCATAGAAAAAAAGAGCCCTCGGGGTCACTGACCGGCTCTCTCTGTATCACATACCTTTTACGACATCTGATGAGGACATTTTAATGGTTCTGTCGCTGAGTGTATTACTTATGGCTTTTGGCCAAAGACAATGCGTGGAGAGCTTGATATGACAAATGACCTGGTTTATTTTTCCTGCTGTGCTGAAGATTGAACTTCTGACCTTGCGAGTGCTAGGAAGTGCTCTCCCATGGGCTGACACCACCTCTTTGGGAGGTGATTACATGTGAGTGCTGAGTTGCCATGCTGTACCCTATGAACACACACAGTCATTTCTGTGTCAATCAAGTGTTAAAAGGTGCTTTTAAGAAAGAGAATACAGTACTGCCCAATTCGTGTACGCTGGTTGCCGGAACTTCTGACGGGCTGTTACTGGCGTGTCAGAGGTGCACTTCTTGGCATCGCACACTCTTTCCCATCATCATTAGGGTCCTGATCACTGCTCTGATCCCTGCAGTCTTTTTACGTCTTCTCGATTCCTGTTTATTCCTTCAACTGAAAGGGACAGGTGAAATGGACTTCAGGGTTCTCTGTGTTGATGTCACCATTATCACCATTAGTTGTATAGTAAGAATGTGTTAGATTGTTGTCCTTTGAATGGGAAATGTCCCCTGCTCCCCAGGCTCACAGGTGAGAACACGTGGCCTCCAGCAGGTGGCACTGTTGGGGAAGGTTGTTGAAGGAGGCGGAGCCCTGCTGGAGGAAGTGGAGCATTGTAGGTGGGCCTAGACCTTTCAGAGACCCAGTCCACTTCCTGTTCACTCCCTGCTTCCTGACAGTAGGTGCTCTGTCAGCAGGCAGTCTCCTGCTCCTGCTGCCATGTTTCCCCACCATGATGGCCCAAATCCTTTTGGAACTTTAAAAAAAAACAAACAGCCCAAACAAAACCAAAACCAAACTCTCCTGTAAGCTGCTCTTGACAGGGTGTTTTATCACAGCCATAGAAGAGAATATGATCAAGACAGATTCTTTTTCCTGTTCTCATTTTTACTTTGAACCTGGTCTGAGACCTAATAAATAACCGTTGATGTTTTTCTTGAATCTTATGGTCTTACTTCACACCACGATGTCTCCTTCCTGACGAGGGTGCCTTCAGCTCTCCTCTCTTGGCTACTCTTATAGTCTACTTCTGGAAGGCAGCTGTGCTCAACACTATTCTACCAAAGTTACCCACCTGGCCTGTTTTCTGGGTGCTCCCATCATGCTCTCCTCTGCACCGAGTGTGTCGTGTTCACTCAACTCTCCAGCACAAGTTCACCCTTGGGTGGCTATTCTTTAGGACATTTAGATGAGGGATTGTGAATCATGAATATGTCCTCTGTCTCAGAGTGAATGCATGTTTCATAATTGATGAATGAATTACAGCTAGCTTATTTTGAACAACCCATTAGATGAAAGAAATAAAAGTGCTGGACAAAATGGAGAAAGAAAGAAAAGGGGAAAACTTTGTTGGTACACAGCCTGTGACATGGCAGGAGAAACACTTGAGCCCTAATCAGATGGAAAACGGAGCCTCTGTCCAGCAGGGGCGATGCCTTCATCCCAATGGCACTGGAGGATTACTTTCCCATAGCTTCTGAGGGCAAGGAGGACAGAAAGGACAGACAGCTCCGGGTCTGCACCCAGGAGACGCAGAGGAGGCTGAGATGCCGTGGGGCTTCCACAGAGAGGGAAAGGCAAAACTGTGCCCACCTCACGGGATCTGGTAATCTAGGTTCCCCTTTATCACCTGGAATGTTGGGCTTTTAGGAAACACCTGACCCACAGGGCCACAGATTTCCCTCCTCTGGAGAAGAATTATTAATCTTTTTTTTAAATTATGAGGATGAGCTGAGGATACAGCTCAGTGGTACAGCGTTTGCCTTAAACATGCAAACTCCAGGTTTATTCTTAGCACTGTAAGAAAGAAATGCTACGTCATCACATGACAGAATCTCCTGCCTGCCTGGTCCTGCGGTGACTGAGGTCCCTCCATTCACCCAGGCCTCACTCTGACTCCACTTTGTGCCACACAGGAGACTTTCTCTAACCCTGACCAAGGTCTGGATGTGGAACCGGAACTACTGTGTTGCTCCAAGACAAAAGCTCTGGCCGGGGCCCTCCTGGCCTACACGTGACAATGTCGTTGCTGTGGTTTTTGCCTTATAAACACTGTTCTCCTGAGCCTCAGTGCTGAGAGCTCTTTGGGGCAAGACCCTGCCCTCAGTCCGCAGCTAGTGCAGACTCTGATTTGGTCTTATATCTGTGGTGGTCTGTAGCTTCCTCACCTGGACCATGACAGCCCCATTCTGTTGTATTTATTACATTTGATTTGTTATGCAATCACCTCCTCTGTGCAGTTCCCAACATTTCACCACCCAAAAGAGACCCCCCAACCTCCCCTGCCCTGCTGTCTTCCAAACCCTGGCTGCCACTCACCTGGTCCTACCTACAACGAACACCAAACACACTGTGCTAAGTGAAGTAAGCTATAACTTTCTTTTCAATGTATAAAACACGCATATCAGTCTATAAGTTAACACCATGGATGGCAGAATTTGGGTAATGGTGCAGAGGAAATTTGCTCAACCATGGCTTCTTTTGGAACCAGTGAGGGAAACTTAAAAATGCTATGAACATGTAACTCACCCCAGCCCATGACAGAATTCACTGTCACTGGCCTGGGTGTAGCCTGGACACTGGTGGCTTAGAAATCTCTCCAGGCGATTCTTGTTATTATTTTTTTTTGACTGGGGTCTTCTGATCTCCTGCTTCAGATTCCTTGTTAGCTGCAAATTACCAGCAGCTACCAGGTGATTCTAATGGGCTGCTCGGGCGAGTTGCTAACTGGTTACGGTTGCAGCCGGTTTCTATTGTGTACCTCCCCTGTTGGCTTTAGCGTTCCCTTTTCATCCCCAGAGTGTGCTCTCTCTTCACAGGATAAGTTTCCTGGGGCATTGTCCGTGATGATTGTCGAAGCCCATAGGCTTTGGTACCACTGGGTTTGTGACTAAGGATGCTTCTAACCAGTGACGTTAGGGAAAACCTAACAGGTACCTTTTAGACCATGTTTCTATATCTTTCAAATGGCTAAAGAACTCCCATTTTGTGGGAATGCTGCACAGTAGACACTTGCCATGACTTCTGTGTGGTGCTGTGGTTCCTCTTACGGTCTTATCTATGTGAGTACCTCATCACAATGGAGCGGTCTGAGGATGGTCCTCCCCCAGCTGGGAGAAAGGCTTCCTGAAAGGGAAGTGGCTTTGCTCAGAAAACAGACCCTCTTCTGTGTACTGGCTTTGTGTAAGACCAGGGGCTGTAGCTGGGGGTGTAGGGCAGAGATGCTGACATGGGGTAAAGTGATAAACACAGGTGCGTGTTGTGAGTGTCCGGAGTACAAAGGGCACAGCAGGCAGACGGCTGAAAGCTAGAAGTACTGGGAGGAGCGGTACTGAAAATGGGTGTTGAACTGGGTGGTGGCGGCACAAGCGCTTAATCCCAGCACTCAGGAGGCAGAGGCTGGTGGATCTCTGTGAATTTGAGGCCAGCTTGGTCTACAGAACAAGTTCCAGGACAGGTTCCAAAACTACACAGAGAAACCCTGTCTCAAAAAACAAGCAAAACAAACAACAACAATAAAACAAAATAAAGAAGGAAAAAAAGAAAATGGGTAGTACTGTAGTACTGAGCTTTGGCTGGAAGGGGATACGGGGTGGGGACCAGGGAAGGAGGTGGAAAAGATGGGAAGGTGTATTTTGGAACAAGCAAGATTCTTCTGTCGCCCTTGGTATCATCAGATAGAAGGGTGAAAAGTGTGTTAGAAGATTCTCCACTTAATGTCAGAGAGTGAGGACGGCCAGGCGGGTTGGACAAGGCTGAAGGAGGAACTGAGTACCAGCCTAGGAAAGGGGAGCCACCCTGATTGAGCCATCACTGCTCTGGGTTCCTGAGGCTGCGGCCACTTACGTCAGCAGAGTGCCCCTGCACTGGATATCTGAGAACTTCTTGGCTGGTTGGAATTTATTTAATTCTTCTTCCTTCATCTTCTGGAGTTGTTGTTGCCTCTTTTTCATGGCGTTTTCCTCTCGCAGTATGCTAAAATATCCACGGCCTATCTTCACACGCTGGATCAGGAAGCTGGAGAAAAAAGCAGAGGTGGGCGGTGGAGGGGGGAGGTAGAGTCAGACACACATACAGGTGGATACAATTTGAGAGCGAGAGAGATGAGGGAGAACAACAGGTGGATGGATAAATAGATGGACAGATAGATGGAGAGGCATACAGAGAGGAGAGGGGATATAAAAGACAAGCTCTTAAATGTATTAGGACAATATCCTTCAGTCTTATGATCAACTATCTCTGAAGTCACCCTCGTGCCCACAGGACAGGACCCTTATATAATGGATTGAGTGTGACATGTTCCTCACAGGCTCTTGCTTTTACTATTTGACTCTCCAGCTGATGGTGCTACTTTGGGAGACTGTGGGGCTTTTGAGGTGTGGGGGAGTAGCTGGTGGAAGTGGAGTAGCTGGTGGAAGTGGAGTAGCTGGCGGAAGTGGATTCTGGAGGACCTTTGAAGGTCCTGGTTCAGGTTCCTCTCACTGTGCTTCTTGGTCGACTGAGCTGCACTGTGTCCGGCCATCCCTGCCATGACAGACTGATACTGTGAGCCTAAGAAGACCTTTCCTTCCTCAGATGGTTCCTGTCAGCTGTTTGTCACGGCCACATGGAAGAAATGAAGATCCCCTCGCATCTCTGCATTTCCAGAGTCAGGCAGACCTCAGCTTGGGTGCTGCATCTGTCTTTTACTGAGATCAGGGGCAGGGCATTTAATCCCTGGGAAGCTGTGTTCTGCCTCCCAACTTGTGATTAAGGGGTATCTTTCTTACAGTGAGCTGCTAACAGATGCTATGAGGAGACAGACAGACCAGGCCAGGGAGGTAACTCAGTGGGCAAAGTGCCCACCAGGCAAGTGTGAGGACTGGAGTTCAGGTCTCCGGAACCATGTAAGAAGACCAGGGACAGCAGGCATGCTCCCGGGCATAGCAGAGACAGGCAGGGCCCTGAAGCTCGTTGACCAGCCAGTCAAGCTGGATTGATACACACAGCTGCAGTGAGAGACCCTGCCTCAGAAACTAAAGATGAAGAATGATTAAAGAAGATACCCAACGTTGGCCTCAGGCCTCCCCATGAATGGAACTCACATGCACACACACCAGCATGCGAATGTGCAGAATGTGCATATACCCACAGAACCCATCACACATACATCAGCATGCAGATGTGCACACACCCACAGTACCAATCACACACACACACACACACACACACACACACACACACACACACAAGCATGCAAATGTGTGCACACCC